CCTGGGAGCCAGTTCTCCCATCGGAGGACATTCAGATTAGGAAAGCTGTTCCACACTCAGTTGGAATTCTTTCAGAAAGTTTCTCCTGAGAGTGGTCTTTTATATTACTCCTGTCTCTGAATTGTACCTGGGGGACAAGGACTTCCCAGAGTGTCCTGACTTAGTCTTCCCCAAAAAGTACGAAGCAGATTCTTGGTCCAGACAAAACCCCTTTTATTAAACGAATGTAAATTCCTCTCATTCACATTCAGCAAAGGCCTGGCAAACAGTCTTTCAAAGGACTATTTATGATTACAGACCTTATCTAGCTTGGAAAGCTGCCATGTAAATATTTCTCAGATGGAGTGCTTTGTGAGGAAAGACTGGGCACAGAGTCTCTGAGATTCACGGACAGATCTTCACACTCCTGAAATGAATCTAACGAACGAATGAATGAATTGTTTCCTGCAAAAGCCCACTCCCCTTTCGCTCCTCTTTTATTTCCTATGGGAGGGGCCAATCACCGTCCACCTGTGGATTTACTCCCAAGTCTACCCTGATTTCTGAGTTGTTCTTTTCTTCTGGCAGCTCTGCGCATGCGCACACTGGGAACAGGCTCTAGTTGTTCCTCTGCCTCACTGTTCTCTAGCTCTGTAGGCACCTGATCACTCTCCTCTGATGCAGAGCCCTCATCCGAGCCTTCTCCAGCCTCCAGCACTGGCCCATGCTCTTCCCCAACCTCCTCACTGTCTGACTCTGCTGGCTGCCGGCAGGCCACAACAGCCATGTGTGAATTGGCAGCAATATAAATTTCCAAACAAGCAAACAAAACAAACACAATCCAGCATCTAGCTGAGAAATGTATACAGGTAGTCCTTGACTTAACAACCGCTCATATAGTGACTATTCAAAGTTACAATAGCACTGAAAAACCTGTGACTGTTTTTCACATTTGCAACTGTTGCCGTGTCCCCTTGGTCATAGGATCAAAATTTGAATGCTTGGCAGCCGGTTCATATTTAAGAGGGTTGCGGTGCCCCAGGGTCAGGTGTCTTTCTGCTAAGCAAAGTCAAGGGGGAAGCCAATCATGTTGCCAACTTACCAACTGCAATGATTCCCTCTACGACTATGACAAGAAAGGTCTTAAAATGGACACTCACGTAACGAATGTCTCAGCATAAATTTGGGGCTCAGTTGTGGTCCTAAGCCTGTACGTTTCTCAGCTAGAAGTCCCAGGCCACTTAAAAGAGTTTTCCCCTGTTGTTTCACCACTAGCAATTGAGATTCAGAGACATGAAGACCTGGCTCCAGGCTTCTATACATGGAGAATTGGTCTCATAATTGTGGGGAACTAGTGGATTCACCCTCCCTTTTCATTTTCTGACTCTCCCCCCCTCTTTTATTTATTTATTTATTTTGCAAAACCACCTAAACTAGTGGGCCCAGTGTCCTATCGTATTATAAGCATTTCTCCATCCACTGTAACCTTCTCAGCTTTCCCCTGCATCTAATCAAGGTTGTTTTTAGTAAATAGGGCATGATTAAGCATTTGCAAGATGTCTCCCCAAAAATCTCAGCTTTATTTGTAACTCCCCCTGCTCAATTTTTCCCCGGGCATAAATGGAACACAGCCCAGCTGCTGTTGTCTTTCTCACACATGCTTCATTCATTTTTTCCATATCCCTCCCAGCTTGTCTCTTCAGCCTGTGACTCACCGTGAGCTCCCTTTCATTTCATTTCTGGTTGACGGCATATCTGGAAAGTGACAAGATTCCATCTGGATGGAGAATGTGAATCAGGGAGAGCCTCTAAAGCTCTTTAAAAGAGGAAACTATGCAAAGGAGGAAAGCAGATAAAATAGGAGTACGAGATACAGAGTACTCTTAAGCTTGTCATCTGAGAGCAAAGACCTGGCCTTTGATCAAACAGGGAGCATCCACAGCAAGGACAATTGCACATTTTATTTATTTATTTTATTTATTAAACATGTATGCCTCCCATCTCTCTGTCAAGCGACTCCGGGTGGCTTAGAATGTTATAAAACATAAAACGTGCAGAGCATTAAAAACATTAAGCACTAAATTATAATGGTAACATTAAGAAGGCACTGCATAAAAGTGAACAGGGTAGAGATGGGATCTTCTCGGTGATGGGATTCAGCCAGTTTGTATCACTCCGGGAGAACCGGTTGTTAAGTTTCTGAGCAGTTTGTGACCAGGTTGTTGGAAGAAATCATTAGGGCAGAGAACCAGTTATTAAATTATTTGAATCCCACCACTGGATCTTCTCCTAATCTACTGATTACCTCCAGAGTGGGAGGCCCTCATTTGCCAGTTGCCAAAGCCAGATTTTCAGGTCCCTTTGGAAGGCCAAAAGGATAGGGGAAACAATAAAGGAGAATATGTGTAGCTCAGGGTTGAAATGAGGGCTCCTTGGTGGTCTCTGATCATGGTTGTTTTCTTGCAGACATTTCATTGCCCGAATTAGGTATCATAATCAGTGCTAGTAGTAGGGTAGTAGTGGATCTCATCTCGATGGGACCGATGTACCAATGGGCAGGAGCCATGGCAGAAAAATCTCTTCTACTGGTCCCCACCAGCTGGAATTCCTTAGCCAACGGGCTCCACACCATGCCCCTTCTACTGGAATGAAGTAGTAAAAGATAGCATGAAGACCAGTGGTGGAATTCAGCCAGTTTGCACTGGTTCAGGCAAACTGGTTGTTAAATTACCCCCTGCTATCAAAGTAGATCCTGGGCACTCTGCTGAACTGCAATGGAGAAATGGGCAACAGAGCGGCTGGCACAAGGGAAGGAGAAGACCGCTTTCCCTCTTTCTTCTCCCTCCTCCTCCTTCTCTTTCCCTTGTGCCGGCCGCTCCGTTGTCCGTTTCTCAGGGGTGAAATCAACTTACCTTCGCAACTAGTTCACAAATGTGAGTACGCACAGGACCTTCCGTGCATGCGCAGAGCGTCAAAAATGGGACGTGATGATGTCTGGGCGGGTGGGCGGAGCCTCCTGCCGCCACCACTACTGGTTCTCCCAAACCGGATAGAACCGGCTGAATTGCAGTACTGCCGTTTCTCCATTGCAGCGCAGCGCCCAGGATCCACTTTCACAGCAGGGTGGGTGGGCAATTTAACAACTGGTTCGCCCAGGGTTATGTTGGGCCATGCCTCCCACGACAACCAAACCAGTTATTAAATTATTTGAATCCCACTACTGATGAAGACATTGAGGCTTGGAGTACAGAAGCAGAAAATGGGGAATATATTTTATCAAATCAGAGCCACATTAATATATAAAACCAGTGTATTTATCAATCACTGCTTTTTGGTAAGCCAACAGTGTTGGGATCACAGCTACATAGGGACTTTTCTCCAGGTAGTGACAGACAATAAACCCACACTTTCTATGGAACATGACTCAGGGGAGAATGATCATTGCTTTCTCTCTCCCTCATGTACCACTATGGAAAAAATCCTCAAAGGATATTTCAGACATGGAAAAATCCCACCCTTTTGTTTCTATTACTTCTATAAGGAAAAAAATTGCACAAAGGCAAATCTGCTGTAGTATCTGCATTAACACAACTTCTATTTCTAACTGTACTTTAACATAAAAAGTAAATCATTATGAGTGAACCGTATTTACATATGACCTTGCTTCAAATGTCAGGCAAATATATTCTGCTAAGACAATAGGCCCTTTAACTTGTTAATATGCTTTAGATTTTTTAAAAATCTTTGTGGATAATAGTGAATCCTTTTAAAAATGCGTTTTTGAGATTTTAGGTTGTAGGAAGTTATTACCTAGCCCTCTCCCAGAAAAATGAAATATCTTAGGAAATATTGAAAAGGCAGAATATTTCTCTGGATGTGAAAAGAAAGAAACATGTTTTAAAAGACAGAATAGCTGCCTGTAGCTTCCTGCCCATCCCCACTTTGTTAATGGGCCATTAAGAATAAGGTGACCAGATTTTAACATTGNTTTAATCGGGCGCGCTTTAGTGGACCGCGGTTTTGTCGTGCCACGATAATTTTCAAGTTTTTTTTTTTAAAAAAAACACCATGTAAAAACGTGCTATTTGGATAAAATTGTATGGGGGAATCAATGGGAACATCTTGGCTTTTACTAGGCATGGATAAAGGCAGGGCGTGGAATTTGATGGCAATGATGTTCAATCTTTTATTAGATTCTGCTTTCTGTATCTCGGAGAAACTATGTCCGTGATGACAAACCTATGGGGTGCATGCTGGAGGTAGCATGCAGGCAGAGCCACCTGGTCTTCGTGCGCACATGCATGCCAGAAACTGGAAGAGCAGCCGCCCGGTGCACATGCTGTAAACTGGAAGAGCAGCTACCCAGCACATGCATGTGTGCCGGGCAGTTGCTCTTTGAGTTTCTGGCACATGCACACGCACACTCCCGTTTCAACACTTGGTGCCGAAAACGTTTACCAACACTAAGCTACATCTTTCCTGAGATTTGGAAGGAAGAGGGAAGATACATTTAATTATGCAAACAGCATGATGGGGATTAGATTATTTCTCCTATGAACATTATTTTCCATTTTCACTTACAATTTCATAGAGAACTCTTTTCCTTCCCTTGTGAGTTGCTCATGGCGATGTCTTCTTTATCCTAAGAATATTATTGTACAAGATTATAAGATATAAATGTTATTCAATAAAACGAGAGGCATATTTCTTTATCTAACATTACATGATTGATGCAAAGGGCTAAAATGTTTTTGGGGTTTAGATCTGAATGAAAGGTGCATAATACAGGAATTTTGTCATCTGGATGCAAAGATTCCATCCCACAGAATATACTTTTATCCAAATATCCCAATTTGTTGGAAGCTAAGCCGATCTGGATCTGATTGATGTCTAGATGGGACACTACCTTGTATTCTGCATGGGTAAATCTTATAGCTCGCCATTGAATCTGAGGCAGGCATGACTTCAATAAAGATTCTTGTTCTAATTAGCCCTTACATTAGCATCATAGTCTTCCTCCACTCTGCTGACTTCTCTATGCTTTGATTGGTCTTTTATTTTGCCTTCTGGTATACAGGTAGTCCTCAACTTACTATCATTCATTTAGTGACCGTTCAAAGTTACAACAGCACTGAAAATGATGACCATTTTTCACACTTATGACCATTGCAGCATCTCCATGGTCATGTGATCAAAATCAAGACCCTTGCAACTGACTCATATTAACGACGATTGCAGTGTTCGGAAGTCATATGATTCCCTTTTGCAATCTTCTGACAAGCAAAGTCAAAGGGGAAGCCAGATTCACTTAACAACTGGGTTACTTACGTAATTGCAGTGATTCACTTAGCAACTGTGGCAAGAAAAGTTGTAAAATGGGGCAAAACTCACTTAACTGTCTTGCTTAGCAGCCAAAGGTTTGGGCTCCATTATGGTCATATGTTGAGGCATATCTATACTTGATTACTCCAGGATAAATGTCTACCTTGCCATGGACAAAACCTTTTGGGCAGAATTGTTGAAATTGTATGTCTGGAGAGATAAATGGTGTTTACTATTGAGTTTTCTAGAAGGAGTCAAAGGCCCAGGATTTGTGTATTGATAGGGAATCAAATCTAAATGTTCAAACCAGAAAGGCAGGGCAGAAGAAGAATGTATGGAAATATACCAGAATCATAAAAATTACTGGCACTCAGTAAACATGTTATCCCACAAAAGACAGTTTCTACAACAGTTCCTTCCCCTGAGGATTCATTGGTCAATCTGATTAGGCAGAAGAAATCCAGAACATGAGAAAGGATGTCACTGGACAGGATAATTTTCTGAGTTCTGATTTCCATTTAAAAATGTGCTTAGCATCCTTTTCAAAAAGAAAAGGACAATATTTCAGTGCATAGCTGAATAAGATGGATCTCTACTCACAGAATTGATAGAATGCCGCTCCACATACTTGAACTTCTTCTGCTTATAGTAGTCCCGATTAGATAGGAAATTTAACAGAAGCAGATCACAAAGTACAGAGGCCTACCAGAAACAAAACATATTGGAAACCTGCAAACCAATATAGTTAACATATTGAAATAGCCTAAAAGATATGGTGAGGTAGAACTGGACAACCACCACCAACATTTTCATAGAGATCTCTAATGGTTGGTTGGCTGACAGGTATCATCCTTGCATTTAATACAATTGAGTATTGTATCCTGGATCATGCATACCATGGATCACGGGCATCCATAATAATTTACAGAAGGAATAATCTTGTAAACTACTGCCCTGATTTTAGTAATTTTTTTTCTCTCTCCCTTGGAAATGTTATGTGACTACATTTTTATTTATCACATTTTGACTTCGATACCATTGGATCTAAATTGTAGAAACACCGACTCTTGGTCCCTTTAGACCACTGACCACTAGGAAATTAGGAACACAAAAAACAGTGAAGAGACGCCTGCTTTTTTCCTTTTTGGTCTGTTCCCCTCAATTACAAACATGATATTCTTAAAGTCTACTTCTCAATTTTAACAGATTTAACAGATTAACAGAGTTGGAAGGAACCTTGTAGATCATCTAGTCCAACTCCTCAAACCACCACCACCCCGCCCAAGCAGAAGACCCTATCTACACCATTTCTGACAAATGGCAGTCCAATCTCTTTTTGAAAGTCTCAAGTGATGAAGCCCCCA